GTGCAGAAATAGAAAAATAACTATCCTGAAATTCATATGGAACCTCAAAGGATCAATAACCCAAACAGGGCCTCCCCGGTGGCACAGCAGTTGAGCGCTGGGTTGCAAAGCTGCCTGCAGCCTCTGCAACACATCGGTTCGATCCCCGGCCACTGGGTGAGGGTCCCATATGGCGCGCAGACCTCTCCTGCCGCCCGCTACTCCCCTCAGCAGTGTACTTCATCAGTCTGCCTGACCTGTTCCCCGCTCTGGCTCTGATGAATTCTCTCACCCTCACACACTTCTGCTGTACCCAGTGCTTGTATAAATAAATAAAATAAATCTAAAAATAATAATAATAACCCCCCCCCAAAAAAATAATCCAAATAATTTTGAGGCAGAAGAACAAATTTGGGTCCTCCTTAGTGGTGCAAGGGGTTAAGTCTCAGCACTATGAAGCCACTGCCAGCCACTGTAATAGGAGTTCAATCCCCGGGCCAGGGAGCTAACCCACATACTGCAGCAGACCTCCTCTGTCTCACCCACTGCTCCCCTCAGCAGTGTATTTCAGTGGATACGCCTATTCTGCTCCCCACTCTGTCTCTGGTGAATGCTCTCACATGCCCCCCATATACACCTCTTGCCTATAAACCAGCTCGTATATGCATAAATAAATAAAATAAATCTTAAAAAAAAAAAGAACAAAGTTGGAGGCCTCGCATTTTCTAATTTCAAAACATATTATATAAAGTTATATATTAATCAAAATAATAGGAAATTGGCATAAAGACAGACATACAGACCAATGGAACAAAATGAAGAACACGGAAATAAACCTCACAAGTACGGCCAGATGATATTCAACAATCGTTCCAAGCGTATATAGAAGAGATTGGATAGTCTCTTCAACAAATGATACTGGGAAAACCTGGATACTCATTTGAAAAAGGATGAAATCAAATGCTTGCTTTATACCATATACAAAATTTAACTCTAAAATTAATTAAAACTTAAAACTAAGACCTTAGCCATAAAACTAAAAAAAAAAAAAATAGGGGGAAATCTTTATTACATTGTAATGAGCAATGATTTCTTGGATTTGATGCCAAAAGCAGGTAACAAAAACAAAAATAGACAAGTAGGACTATAGTAAATTTAAAATCTTCTCAAAGCTAAAGAAGCAATCAACAGAAGTAAAAGGCAACCTACAAATGGGAGAAAACACTTCAAATAATACATCAGATAAGGAGATCAAGAATACATAAAGAGGGCCTCCCCGGTGGCGCAGCGGTTGAGCGCTGGGTTGCAAAGCTGCCTGCAGCCTCTGCAGCGCCGGTTCGATCCCCGGCCACTGGGCGAGGGTCCCACATGGTGCGCAGACCTCTCCTGCCGCCCGCTGCTCTCCTCAGCAGAGTACTTCGTCATTCTGCCTGCTCTGCTCTCCACTCTGGCTCTGGTGAATTCGCTCACCTTCCCGTGCTTCTGACTGTACCCAGGGCTTGTATAAATAAATCTTTTTTAAAAAAAAACTATTTTCAAAAAGAAAATTTAGAAAAAAAAAAAAAGAATATATGAAGAACTCCTACAACTCAGTACCAAGAACAAAAACAGAAGTCATCCAATTTTGAAATGGACAAAGGACATGAATAGACGTTTCTCCCATCGAGATAGACAAATGGCCAACAAACATAGAAGTTCAACATCACTAATCATCAGGGAACTCAAATTAAAACAAGCACAAAGTATCATCGCACATTCATCAGGATGACCACTATCAAAAAAATCCCCAGAAAATAAGGGGCCTCCCTGGTTGGCTAGAAGTTAAGTCTCAGCGCTATCACCTCTATGGCCTAAGTTCAATCCCTGGCCAGGGAGCTAACCTACATGGTGCAGCAGACCTCTCCTGCCTCGCCTGCTGTTTCCCTCAGCAGTGTTTTTCAGGAAATCTGCCTGTTCTGCTCCCCACTCTGTCTCTAGTGAAATCTCTCACCCCCACACCTCTGGCCTGTATCCCAGTTCTTCTATGCAAAAATTAAAAAAACAAAAACAGAAAATAGGAAGTGTTTGGTGAGAATATGGAAAAAATGAAACCCTGGGCCCTGGGTACTATTGGTAGGAATGTAAAATGACCCAGGCATTATGGAAAACAATTTGGAGATTCCTCAAAATTTTTTTTAAAAGATTTATTTATGCATACAAGAGCTGGGGTACAGGCCAGAGATGCAGGAGGTGAGAGGATTCACCAGAGACAGAGTGGGGAACAGTACAGACTGACTGAATTACACTGCTGAGGGGAGCAGCGGGAGAGACAGGAGAGGTCTGCTTCTCCATATGGGTTGCTCCCTGGCTGGCCAGGGATCGAACTTGTGCTGCAGAGGCTGCAGATTGCTTCATAGTGCAATGCTTAACCCCTTGCGCCACGAGGGAGGCCCCCTCAAAAAAACTTTTTTTTAATGAAATTCCCATATGATCCTGCAATCTCACTTCGGAGTATGTATCCAAATGAATTGAAAACAGGATCTCAAAAAGATACTATCATTCCCATATTTGGTGTCGCATTATTCACAAGCACCAAGATGTAGAAGCACCCTAAATGTCATCAATACATGAATATATAAAGAACATGTGATGTATAGTGGAGTATTATTCAGCCTTTAAAAAGAAGGAAATCTGCCATGTGGCCACAAGGATGAACCTTCGAGACATTATGCTAAATGAAATAAGCCAGTCCCCAAAAACAGATACTGCCTGATTCTTCTTCTATGAGCTATCTAAAGTAATTGAACTCGGGGCCTCCCTGGTGGCGCAGCCGGATGAGCGCGGTGCTTTGGAGATGTCCACAGCCTCTGCAGTGCTAGTTGGATTGCCAGCCGACCAGGGAGATTCCCACATGGTGCAGCAGACCTCTCCTGCCGCTCCCGCTGCTCCACTCAGCAGTGTGTCGGTCCTTCTGCCTGTTTCTGCTCCCTGCTCTGTCTCAGGTGAATTCTCTTGCCCTCCTGCACCTCTGGCCTGTACCCCAGTGCTTGTATAAATAAATAAGTAAATAAATAAAGAAGAAAGAAAGAAAGAAAGAAAGAAAGAAAGAAAGAAAGAAAGAAAGAAAGAAAGAAAAGAAAGGAGGAAGGAAGGAAGGAAGGAAGAAGGAAGAAGGAAGGAAGGAAGGAAGAAGGGAAGGAAGGAAGGAAGGAGGAAGGAAGGAAGGAAGGAAGGAAGGAAGGAAGGAAGGAAGAAGGAAGGAAGAAGGAAGGAAGGAAGGAAGGAAGGAAGGAAGAAGGAAGGAAGAAGGAAGGAAGGAAGGAAGGAAGGAAGGGAGAAATTGAACTCATAAAAACAGAGAACGGTGATTTCCAGGGCCTGACAGGAGAGGGAATGGGGAATTATTGTTCAGTGGATATAGAGTTTCAATCTTGTAAAACAAAAATTAGTTCTAGAAGTGTGCTGTACAATGTGTGTATAGCTAACAATACTATACATACACTTAAAATTTGTTAAAAGGATAAATTTTTTATGTGTTTTGTTTTTTTAAAAGATTTTTTATTGGGCCTCCCCGGTGGCGCAGCAGTTGAGCACTGGGTTGCGAAGCTGCCCGCGGCCTCTGCAGCGCCTGTTCGATCCCCGGCTGCTCCCCGGCCACCGGAGGAGGGTCCCACATGGCGCGCAGACCTCTCCTGCCGCCCGCTGCTCCCCTCAGCAGTGTACTTCGGTCCTTCTGCCTGCTCTGCTCCCAGCTCTGGCTCTGGTGAATTCTCTCACCCTCCTGCACTTCTGACTTACCCAGTGCTTATATAAATAAATAAATAAATATTTTTTAAAAATAAAAATAAAGATTTTTTATTTATTGGAATCTTGTATTTGCATATAAGAACTGGGGTGTAGACCAGAGGTGCAAGGGGTGAGAGGATTCACCAGAGACAGAGTGGGAAACAGAATAGACAGATTGACTGAAATACACTGTGGAGGGGAGCAGTGGGTGAGAGAGGAGAGGTCTGCTGCACCATGTGGGTTAGCTCCCTGGCTGGTGATCAAACTCAGGCCTCAGTGGTTGGTGATAACTTGATAGCACTGAGACTTTAACCCCTGCACTACCAGGGAGGCTCTTGTATGCAAAATTTTAGAGTAATTTATTATTATTTAAAAATGTATTATTTGGGGACCATTGGGGTTCTATATATCTGTAGAAAAATTGAGCAAATTCACCATTCAGTCAAGGCAGCACTGTGACCCAGGACAGGTAAAGGGAGTGCTTTCTGTTTGCATCTGCACAAGAAGGCATGGTGTGAAGGCATGGTGGGGAAGGGGACCAGCATGCAATCAAGACTGTAGGCCCTTTCTGAGGCAGATCAGTTTTAGTAGGGGAAGGATCTATAACTGGAATCCAATAAAACAGTCTGTGCCCAAGTATCTTTTCAAAAACGTTAAGCTGGCCCAGGTTGAACCACTCCGCAGAACCCTGCAGGCTGGTCTTCCTGCCCTGTCCCTCTGCCCCCATGGGCGGGCATCTCCCCATGGTAGGGGTTCTCAGTGCAGGAGCAGGGCAGACCAGGGAAGCAGGCATGGTCCCCTACAGCAGCTAAAAGGTCATTTCCTTCATCCCTCCCCAGTTCCAACCCTGGCCTCCACACCCTGAGTTCCTTGCACCCCTAATTTCCCATCCCACAAAGTTCTCTGTATATGAGGACTTGAGGCTTCACTGCTACTCTTGGCTTGAGCCTGAGGATCATGGCTCCTCTCTGGTGGAATTGCAGGGAGTGTAACAGGGTGTTCCCCAGGAAAAGGGGAATTCCAGTTTCCCTGTCCCACCCAGAGGAGGGTGGAACTAAAGAGAAGAGAAGAAGCTGCAGAGGAGACTGAGAAGGAAGGAAGCAGGATGGAGCCAGAAGGAGACTTGGAGGAGGCACATGGAGCAGAGAGACATGTGATGAAACTGGCCTTTTGGTCCTGAAACACATGTGGGTGAGAGACCCATGGGGAGGACAACAATGGCAGCTTTTTTTTTTTTAATTAATTTATTTATTTATACAAGCACTGGGTACAGTCAGAAGCGCAGGAGGGTGAGAGAATTCACCAGAGCCAGAGTGGGGAGCAGAACAAGCAGACTGAAGAAGTACACTGCTGAGGGGAGCAGCGGGCGGCAGGAGAGGTCTGGCGCCATGTGGGACCCTCGCCCGTTGGCCGGGGATCGAACCAGCCGCGGCAGTGGGCAGCTTCACAACCCAGCGCTCAACTGCTGTGCCACTGGGGAGGCCCAACAATGGCAGCTTTTATCTTGAATTTGATGTTGCTCTTTTTTTCTCCTAAACTTGCCTGGTTGTTTCTGATCCTTTTCTGTGGGTCCCCACTGGAAATTGCTTTAGACTTGTGGCAGGCTTTCGGGCCTTGCTCTGAGCCAATCCCGTTTGGATGGACTTTTACCCACGAGGGGACGGGTAACTTTCGGTGTTTGATTTGAAACTATATTCTTTGTCTTTTCTGTATTGTTTACTCATTGTATTAAAGTTCCTTCCCATTAAAGTCTTACATGTTTTGTGTTGATGTGGCGGATAGCAGAACCTATTTAGAGCAGGCAGGTTTGGAGGCTCTGGGGTGCCGCTCCCCTGCACTATAACAGGAGAACTTACTGGATACCCTGTGTGCCTGAAGATGAAAATGAACCAAAGTCTGGGCTAAGAGGCCCAGAGACAGTGACAGGTGGCACAGGAAGGAAGGCTGCTAACCCAGGGCTGACAGCACCTGCTGGGACCCACAGTTCTGGCTGCTTTCTTGCTCTGCCCCTGGGATTTCTCTGGAGGATTTCTCTAGGGGCCCAGAGCAGAGACTACCAAGGCATGAGGAGGTTCCAAGGGATGGAAAGGTTTTAATGAATATCACAAAGGGACTGGGTAAGGAGAATGCAAACTCTAAATCCAACCTTTATTGCCATCCTTTGATTGAGCAGGAGGGAGGGGCTCAACCCCCCTTAGCTCATTCCCAGACCCAGAGGCAGTTGGTAGGGAGTCCCTGGAAGTCTTCTCCACCCAGCGGAGGGGCTGAGGGAGAGAAGAGCGGTCGCTGCTGCTGCCAGGGGCAGAAAGACCTGAAGCAGCAAACTGACCTCCAGCATCGGGCAACAGCAGGCAGGAGCATCGGATGCATTGACTGAACAGGTGAGGGAACTCTTGGGGACCCCAAACAGCATGGAAATCTCACAGGACCCCTAGGGTCTGCTGGCTCCAGGGACTGAGACCCTTGGGGAGGGACCCCCAGACTGAGACACTCTAAAAGGAGCTCTAAGATCCCCCTGCCTCCAGCTCAACAGGGGTCAGAAGCTCTGGAGGGGGAAGCCAGTGCAGAGGGCTGGGTGGCCGAAGAGGCTGAGGAGGAAGGCCGGGAAGGACATCTGGGGCAGACTTGGGGCAGTGCCTGCAGGGATGGTGGGAAGGGTCCTCTAGCTGCTGTTCTGCTGCTCCTGCTGGCGGATGAGGTTGGCAATGGGGCTCGTGATGCCGCCTATCAAGGTCCAGTACTCATCGAAGCTGATGCGCCCATCGTGGTTGGCATCCAGTTTCTGGATGAGCTTGTCAGCAGCATTTCTGTTCCCGGTGTCCTGAAGGGGAACCGGGTGTCAGCAGTGCTGAGAGTGGCAGCCCCTCAGCCCCCAAGCACAACTCCAAACAGAATCCTAGCACCTGACCTGGGAAATGGGAGTAGAGCCCTTGCTGGCTCAAGCCTGAGCACCCTGAGAGAACAGAGGCCGCAGTAGGGAAGGAAGCCCTGAGGGAGAAGGGCTTGGGGGTTGGGGGTAGCAAGGTCTTGGGGTAAGAGAACCTTACCGTCAGCATATGATTGAGTTCTTTCTGAAGCATCTTCCGGAAGCTGCTCTTGCTGATCTTGTTCTTGACCAGGCTGTGCTTAGACACGTATTTGTAGAAGTTTTCCACCAAGACCACGACCGCCTTCTCCAGCTCTGTGTAGCTGTCCGCCATCTCACTGCCTCACTCCTCCCGGGGCCTGGGCACCATGAGGAGGGGAGATGAGAACCCACAGGCCAAATCTCCTCTTATCTCCCTGCCTTCATCCTCCTTCACAAACACACCCTGAGCCCTGGCCCCTGCAGACTGGCCAGTCCTTGGGAGGAGGCATGGTAAGGGGGACACACGGTGGGCGCGGGGGTGGGCCTGGAATGAGAACTATGTGGTTCCTCTAATCCAGGTGCTCCCCAGCTCAACCGCCTCAACAGGTTCTCCAGGACCTTCCCCAGCCCCAGGCGCTGGGCTTGTCCAAGTCCCAATGAGAGCAAGAGGCTCCTGTGGGAAGAGCAGGAGAGTAAGGGCCTGGGCCTCCACCCTGCCCCACCCCTGGCGCAACCGGAGCCCCTGCCCTGGTGACAGGCACAGCTAGAAGTGCTAGGATGAGCCAGGGAGCTGGAGGCAAGAACCATCATTCCCCAGCCCCAGGACTAGCGAGACCCCAGCTCCAAGCAAAAAAGCAGAAAGTAGGGATCTGTCCCCACCCCCCACCTCCCCAATCCCTTCAGCCAGACTCCAGGGCAGTGAGTACAAGGTCTCAGACCACAGCTGCCTCTCTCTGGGAAAGGACAAGGCCCTGATCCATCAAGAGAGATTTATGCAGAACCCCAGTCACACCCCAATAGCCTATCCTCCCTCATATCTACCCCCAAAATATATAGCATGATCCAAAGGGCCCCCCCATTACCTAAGGAGGAGCGAGGCCTGGTCCTACCCCAGTTGGAGACAGTGCAGCAGCTGGCCCAAGGCCACACACGTCACCCCCTCACCCCAGGACAAAAGACATTCACATTCCAAGCGGACACAGCCTACTGAATAACAGGATATGAGGGGAGCAGGCGGATCTGCTCTGAGTCCCGCCCATGCCCAGAGCCCCCCCAAGTAAACTGGGCAAATGAGACACCCCTCCCGCCCCCAAGCCCAGGAATGAGTTGCAATGGCCCTGCCCACTGGGTCCTGGCAAGGGAAAGTATCCCTTGCCAGGGCAGGGAAAGCCACCATCCATGCCGGAGCAACCCACAAAAGGGAGGTCCATCTCACCAGGCCACACTGTGGTTCCGGACACCTGCCTTCTAATCCCCCTCGTGGCCAGGCTTCCTCCCAGGCCCAGTGCCCTGCCCTCTCACCTAGCTGAAGCCTGCCCAAATGGCATCTCCCCAGGGAAGCCTGCCCTGACCCCTGTCCTCAGCACCCTCCTCCCCTTGACTGCCCAGCTGGCATTGGCTGGGCCCACTAATTACTAAGGCTGTAGTTTCTTCCGATGTGGATTGTGTTTCTAACATGCAGCCACTGTGTTTTTCAAACCAAAAAGCCTTTGGGGCCCTTTTTTTTTTTATCCTGGATAATCAACCTCCCAGTTTTTAATCTGAGTCTACCCTTGCTCATGTTGCCCAGCACCTCACTCCAGGTAGACGATGTATAAATATTCCACCTCCTTCCAGCTCTGATGCCAGGCATCCAGATCCCAGGCCACCCTTAAGCTTTTTCTTCCTACAAACTTTTCTAATGGAAGAATGAGACCGAGTGGAACCAGGCCAGGAAGCAGGAAGGAAGGGGAGGTGGGAGGAACAGGGGTCAGGCTAGGCACATCTGCCCAGCCTCCTTTCCCTGCCCCATCCACCGGAATACTTTGGCCTGTGGTCAGAAGGATGATGCATGGCCGGAAGACAGCAGGAGACCATGCTTGCTCTCCATAGTCTTCAATAAACATGTAACCATGTGGTTCAGTGTTTGTATCTTTGTAAGACTTTGGTAAGAACATTAAACATTCACCACTGAAGAGGGAGAAAAATGTTTCAATCCATGACTGTTTGCTGCCCTTGTGGGAGGAATGTCCCAGGCCCTTGACCCTCAGATTCTGAAAGTGGGACCCAATTCAGCAAGGGCTGTGCCGGGCCTACTCCCCATTAAGTCTTGGGGATAGGAAGAGAGTTCAGAGAATACCCCCGACCGCTACCATCCCAGACCCCATTTGTCCCCTAACTGAGGAATCCAGTGGGAAGTGGCCATCCAGAAGAAAGGGAAAGAAATCAGTTTTGGAGGTGGTGTGACTCTGTCCCCCTCCCCCTTGGCAGGCTCACCCCTCTCACCACTTCTCTGCTGGGTGTTTTCTCTCCCTGACCTGGGTAGCCTCCTCTTGCCTTTTCTCCATATGGTGCCCCGGCCCCTACCTGGCCCAAGGTGACCAGGCAGGCAAGATACAGGAGACCTCCTGGGAGATAGTTAGCAGCCTGCTGTCCGGCTGTCGAGGGCTAGCTTGGTGGCTCTGAGCTTCAGTTCCCAGGCCTCCAGACATGCGCGCACAGACACCGGCTTCTAGTCAAATGGACAATGCTGGAGATAACCGTCTGGATAAATGCTTTCCTGAAGTTTTTTCTGAAGAAGGATATCAGGTCGGATAGCCAGTATCATTACCTCCTTCCCTCCCTTCCCTGGAGGCCAGGAGAGAGGCTCTGCCACCACACCCAGCCCACAGCCTCCTGCTCCTCCTGCCTGCCCCTTCCTCCCAGGCATGGGTTGGAGTTGCAGCCCCTTTTTGGGAAAGGTCTGGCAGGAGGTCAGTCCTGCATTGGCACATCCTGGCCTGAGGACTTAGTGGGGGGCAAGGGGTGTGTGACAGGGGAGAAGGTGGACATGTACACTGGAGCCTTTCCAAAAAAGTAGGAATGGGAGAATTACTTGTTTTCCAAAGGGCCCCCTCAACTGGGGCCCCAGCCTTCCCCCCACCCCTCATGTTTCATTGTCTTCTCCTGGGCTGATTCATCATTGAGCAAACCACCCCACCCACCTCAGGCCAGCTCGCTGACTTCCCCCAAAGCCCAAATTGCCCAGCACCATGCCCCTGGGTCTCAGCTGCTCCAGCCCCACCCTAAGCCCTCAGGTTCCCAGGCCCCACCCCCCATCTCTTCAACTCCTTTCAGTCTGGAAACCTGAGGGGCACCACACCCTCCAAATTTCACCTTCTCTTCTCACCTCCACATACTTCTGGAGTCTTAAATTGTTTCCAAGTAGAATAAGTCGCTGTACTCCTCTCCCTCCTAGTCTCCACACACTTGAGAGCCAGGCCCTCTCAAGTCCAGATCAGCCATTCTCTGTGTCCTTTACACATATCCTGAATTCCTCCACTCACTGGTTCACCCGTGGTTCACTCATTTGTTCATTCATTCATTCATTGACTCATTTATTCACTCTCATTCATTCACTTGCTCATCTTCTCACTCATTCATTTTCTTCTTCATTCACTCATTCACCCCAACTGCCTTCAATATGCAGAAAAGGTACAATCTGCCCTGAGCTGGGAATGCTTTGTTCCCTTGGAAAGCTGTCTCAGACCCCCTCTCTCTGCTGTCTGCTCCCTCTTCTCATGCTCTTTCAGAACCAGAGGCTGATCTCTCCCATAAGTGTTCTCCCCTGGCTGCCCCCCTCCTCACAGGATGTATCCAATTCACTCAAAAGCATACAGCAAGGAGTTCTGCCACTCTTAATTCCCTCTGTTTGGGTGACCATTCACCTTCCGTTCACTTGTGCTTTTGATGCAAATAGCTAAAGGAAGAAGCCTCCTCTTCTGAAATTTTTCCCAAAGTGAAATTTGAAGTTTGGTCAGAAGACACACACACACACACACACACACACACACACACACACACACACACCCCACACTGCGGCTACCCTGGCCTCATCAACACCCAGAGAGTGCTTTACTAGCTGGCAAGGAAAGGCTGAACTGCTCACCAGAACCTCCAGGGCTCCATTCCCAGCACCCCTGCCTTCACCCCCCACCCCACAGGGCAGGGCAGGGGAACCCTCCTTTAGTGCAGGTGGCTCCACCAAGCAAAGCAAGTCAAGCCAGAACCTGCCTGGGTCCTAAGGTTGATGAGAAGCTGTGGGGGTTTCCACTGGCCCCTCTCCCAGAGCTCCAGGCTCCCTAGGCCTCACCCAGGTCCCTCTGGGCCCCAAAGTCCCTCCCAGGGAACAGCTCCCAGAACACAGCAGAGGGCCCTGCATCCAGAGAACTGCATGAGTCTTGAGGTGAAGAGAAGCCATCGCAGTGCGGCCTCCTCTCCTGGGGCCCTCAGGCAACCTGGGCTCTCTCTGGCTCCTCCAGGATCCCCACACTTCTCCAAGGACCCAGCACCCAGCACCCAGTGAGGCCTGTGTCCAGGTCTGATCACCCCTCTCAACCCCCACCAACCCCCATTTGCCCTTTTTGTGTTAAGGGAGGATCTGAACAGCTGCGGGCAAATCTCCCAAACCAGTGACCCAGCCCCTGGAGAGAAGCCCAGTCAGCTGCTGGGCCAGGGAAGGGGTCTCGCCAGCCCATCCACCCCTCAGAAGGCCTCTCCAGTCCCCTACCCCACCTGAACTCTCCAAATCGCAAGCAGTCCCTTGAGGAAAGTTAACAATTAACGAAATCTTCCTGCCTAGTCTCTGACAGGCTCCCCTTCCCAGGCCCCTTCACTGCCCCCTCTCCTGGCCTCCCCTGCCTGTGGGGCTTCTCGGCAACCCCAGACCTCCCAAGTCAAGCCTGGGGCGCTCACCTGCCTCCTCGGTCCACCTCCTCTCCAGCAGGGCTCTGGGGCCTGGGCTCTGGCACTGCCAAGCAGCTCCCCAGCTCAGCCCAGCCAGGACTCCTCCCCGCTGCACTCCCAGAATCTGTCCCACTCCCTCCCAGGCCTGCCTGGCTGAGCTGGCTCGGTGGGGAGGTAGTTAGCAACTGAGCTCTTTCTTGACTTGGCCCTGGGGTTGGGCCCTGGTTAAAGGGATACACACCTTTTTTAACACCCTTCCGCCCCCCACCCCAGAGGGTGTGGTAGAAGCTGGCACTCCCCCAACCCCACCCACCCAGCAGAACCTACAGGTGGAGAAAGGAAGGGAAGGGCAGTCACCTACCCTTCTCACCTGGATCACTGGGAGCCTAGTTTCAGAGTCCCCAAAAGACAGGTTCAGGTAGCATTTCCAGGCCAGCCTGACTGGCTCCAGAAACTTCCTTGCTGTCAGGATTTCAGAAATAATAGCTAATTTCAATGGGTGCAAATCAGGGGCACCTGGGACAGAAATGGCCCCCTGGTCTCCCATCTCCAATTCAGTCCACCAGGAGCATTCTAGACTTATCCCTCCATCCCTCTTGCGCAGTGGGGGATTCCTCTAAATATACCCTTCACTATTCCCCAAGATATCCAAGGAAACTGGCCAGTTTGACATCTCTCCATAGAGGCAGTGGTGAAATCAGAGGGGACTCCTTCCTTACTCCACTGGAGTGGTTTCTGCTCTCTGCGCACTCCCTACCTGGCAGGCTCTCTGCTAAGCGCTTTACATGATGCCTGCATTATCATCTAGCAAATCTCATGGGAAATATTATTAATATTCCCATTTTACAGATAAGCTCAGAGCATTCCCAAAGTTCCAAAGATAGTGAATCGTGGAGCTAGGATTCAAACCCATGTTAGTCAGCCCATTTGCCTTGCTACTAATTGGCCAGGTTCCAACACACATGTGTTCCTGTCCTTTACCATCATGTGCACACATGCCTGCTCTCTCATCTGAGGGCCAGGCCACTGACAGAGAGGAACCCATCCCTCATAAAGTGCCACATCTCCCCACTTTGGGATCTGGTACCAACCTCAACCCAAATCAATGAACAAAGGAGAACCTCTAGTCACTCTCAATGCCAACACCCCCAAACCTCCCATGTCCCACCCCACCCAATGCCTCTGCCATTCACCTCCACTTTCCCTGATCCACAGACCCTGGGGGGTAGTTTCCAATCAAGACAACATCGTTTACTTTTCTATTTTTTTATTAAATCAAATGATACAAAACAACCATCATTCTATAAATGCCCAAGCACCCAGGTGGTCCTCTTGCTCCCAAGGCCTCCCCCACCCTGTTCTCTCTTCCCCTGCCCTAGCCCAGGGACAGTCTTAGGAAGGGTTGGGGCAGAGCTGGAAACAGGAAGAAATAGCACTGGACAGAGACTATGGTGTGGTTGGGGAAGAGGTTAGGAGGGGAAGGTTCTTAGAGACCCTTTTTAGTACCAAATATCCAGCCCTATTCCCAGGCCCATAGCCCTGCTCCTCTCTACCCTGACCCATACCCCAATGACTTGGCCCTTAGACCATTCCTATCCATCCTAGCCCCAACCAGTCCTTGAGCCTCTCTCTGGTGGGCACTTCCGGACCCATTAGCTGCATGCGCTCCCATGGATGAAGTGAACTGAGAAACCATCCCCACCACCAGGGCTATTAAGAGCCTGCCCCTTGCAGAGGTAAGGCAGTGCAGACTGAGGAATGGGGTGGTGTTGGTGGAGAGAGGAGTTATATTTCTGGGCCCATCTTCTCTAAGAATCCCTTTCCCCAACATCCCCTCAAGAATTCCAGGGGAAGGTTCTCAACTCCCTGGAACGGGGCTCTCCATCTTCACACTCTTGGCTGCTTCTCCAATCAGCTCCCAGAAACTCCCAAACTCCAACTTAGAATCGTTACAGTTGCCCAAGTCAGCAATTTTCTCTTCCAGTCCACAGTTGCTCTAAGGGAGGAAAGACATGGCAGTTCCGTGAGTGAGGCAGAAGCTCCCAATCTTCCCACACCGCCCTGCCCAGGGGCAGGAAGCAGGGCCAGAGCCAGCCCGGCACTGTGGCCTCTGCCAAGGGGGCGGGACTAGGATGGTGATGCCAGACAGTGTGGCCGGGGCTTGTCAGGCTGTGGAGCACTTGCTTGGGAAGTCAGGGCACTGTCTGGGGCAGGGTCCACTCCCTCAGTACCGGCATGAGGTGGGGCAGCTGTTGGGTGACCAGGTTTCGGAGCTCAGCAGCAGTCAGTGTTTCTTTCCCACCCTCCCCGGAGTACTGATGGAAGTTCTTGATGAGGGTTTCAATGGCCCTCTCCACATCGCTGAATTCCTGGGCATCCTGCAGGCAGGGACAGCACCCACATCAGAGAGGCTCCACCTGCCATATGACACTCTACCTCCCCCAGGAGCCTGGCAAAGCCAAGTCAGAAGATAGCTGGAAGGCACACAGACTCCCACCCACTCCAGAACCCAGTACCCAGCTCCCCTCACCCCCACTGGCCTCTGCCCTCCACCACAGGTTGAGCAAGTCTTCCTCCAGCCACCCCCAGCCCATAGGCAGGGCAGGTCCCAGCATGAGGCCTGGGCATCTCTTCCCAGGAGGCCTCCATGTGCATCACCTGTGTGGGCACCAGGGAGAGGAGTCAGGTCTCCCCAGCAGGGTCTAGAGTACAGGGCAAGGCCATAGTGAAGGGGGAGACGTGAGTAAAGAGCAGAGACCCTCAGCCTGGAGGAAAGGAAAAAGGAGGAGGACAAGCCAGAAAAGAATGGCCCACCTCGGCATTGGCTGACCGGCACTGTCCCATGGTGTCTGCTGTGCTTGGTCCTTTTGTGAATTTTGTTGTCCTATAGCCCGCCCTGGAGGAGCCGATGGCTCATGATCTGTGGTGGGGGTGTAGAGAGTTGGTAAAGCGTTTCTCAACTACCCTCTTCAGCACCAGCCCAGATATGCTGCACCTTATCCAGGGGCCAGAGCCAGCCCTACAGAAGGCCCAGCCCCTGTGGAGGCTCCAGAAATTAAGGTCACAGCTTCATGTAGAGAATATCTTAGACCTCACCTTAGCCTCAACCCTCCCACCTCCTCCTACCGCTCACCTCCACCCCCAAAACACACACTCCAGACCTGGTCCCCCTGCCCTTCCCCGGCCAAACTAGGGTAGGATGGCCAAGTGTGCCCTCTGAACAGGGGGCAGTCCATTTGGGTGAAAAGCCCTGATTCTCCTTACCTGCTGGCAGCCGCTGAGACAGGACAGGAGGAGCCAGCTCACCAGAGCTCAGCTCTTATACCTGGGGGAAGGGAGGGGAGGCAGGGGCTGTGCCTCACCCCCAAACCACCCCAGCTCTAGCGGCAGCCCGGGCTGTGAGCCAGTAGTGTGGCCCCACCCTCCTTTGGCTAGAGCCGAGATCCCGCCCTCTCCCCTGCCACTGGGAGAGAACTGGGGAGGGCTGGGCTGGGATGCCCCAGGCCCCAGAGCAGCAGGCTGAGTCGTGGGGAGAGAGGAGAGGCTGGTGAGGCAGAAAGGGTGAATCTGAAAATACTATGGGGTCAAGCCTGAGAGGTGGGAGGGTCTGGAGCATTTGCAGGGCAGTGGAATGGAGGGACTGTCCTAACCACCAAAAAGAAGAGAGGCTGATCAAGGCAGGATCTGTGGTACAGAGGGAATGAGGCATCTGTGGGTTGAGAAAGTTCTCCCAGATGTACTTTGATCTCTCTCTCTTTTGATTTCTCTGTCTATCTCCTTCCCTCTCCGTCTCTCCCTTCCTCCTCCCGTTTCTCTCCCCTCCCTCCCTACAAGGGCCCATTTGGATAGTGACACTCAGATCCAGCCCACAGCTTTCCCAGTGGCCTGCAGATGAATGAGGACTCAATCAGGAGGGAAGAGCTGGACCCCTGCTGGAGGAAGTGGACTGAGTGTTGTCTAGACTTCCCTGCAGCTCCCCGAGTCCAGCAGCTCCCCTAGGCCAGCCTCACATACAAGGCCCCACCTCTCCAAACTGGTTGAACTGCCTTCTCCTCCCTTCCTTGGAGCCCCATTCCTTTCCTTACCATCAACTGCACGGAAAACAGCCCAACCCCATTCACTACCAGGGAAGACCTGACTGTAGGTACCCACCCCAAACCACCCTACCTGAGGGGAAAAGAGAGAAGGGCAGGGGAGTCTGTGTGGGTTAGGCCAAGCAGCGGGTGAGCCCCGAGCCACACTTTCTGGGTCCCTTTCTTAAACTCTGGGATCAGAGTGTGTCCCTCCAGATGCCACGCCCCGAATCTCCTTCTAGGACTCCCTTATACTTTTGGCCCCCATAGGGCATGTCTGCAAGTGTATCAATGAATCAATCTTGGAAGGGGACCCTTCCAAGAGTGTTTCATTTTCAGAGTTTCTCTAATGGGTCTCAATCTGGGATGGGGAGCCCTCTGGTATGAATGTCTCAGTCAAAGTGCCCCTCAAAGGGTCTCATCCTGGGGGACCCCTCTGAGGGTCTGGGGGCATTTAGCTGGAAGGTCACCATCTAGGAACACGGAGTGTGTTGGGGAGCTCCGCTTGGCCTAAATGTTTCTCTGGACTAATAGCTGCCCACAGTGGACACCTGATTTAAGGCAGTGACTTCATCTGCAAGGTAGCGCTCCCTCCCCCCACCCTTCCTCGCCCCCGCCCCGACCCCGCCCCGACCCCGCCCCTCGGCTGCCCAAATCTTGCTCCCTCTGGTGGTGGGCAGTGGGAACTGCATGCCTCTCAAGTCAAGGACAGAAGAGCACAGAACAGTACCCCGAAGTTCTGCTTCCCGCAGCATAGTCTTCAATTAGAACTCTGAGGTCATTCAGGGAGGATCCCAGTTAACCCCAGAGACTCTAGAATTTCAGCCCTGGTGCATCTATTCTTGTGTTTATATCTTCACTTCTCTAAAAATCTGTTCCCTCATCTTTAACATAAGTCTTAAAAATAGTACAGACCCGGGCCTCCCTGGTGGCAAGGGGTTAAGTCTCAGCACTATGAATTCATCAGCAGTCACTACAACACGAGTTCGATCCCCAGCCAGGGAGCATAGCAGACTTCTCCTGTCATGCAGCTGCTCCCCTCAGCAGTGTATTTCAGCAGATCCACCTGTTCTGTCTCTGGTGAGTCCTCTCATCGCCTTTCCCCAACACACACACACACCTCTGGCCTACACCCCAACTCTTGTATGCATAAATAAATCTTTTTTTAAAAAGTACAGGGCCTCCCTCGTGGCGCAGGGATTGAGCGCTGGGTTGAGAAGCTGCCCACAGCCTCCGCAGCACCAGTTCAATCCCCGGCCACCAATGAGGGTCCCACATGGCGCGCAGACCTCTCCTGCCATACCCGCTGCTCCCCTCAGCAGTGTATTTCGTCAGTCTGCCTGTTCTGTTCCCCACTCTGTCTCTGGTAAATCCTCTCACGCCCCCCCCACACCTCTGGCCTGTACCCCAGTTCTTGTATGCATAAATAAATAAATCTTAAAAAAAAAAAAAGTACAGACCCTACTCAATGAGTTGCCACGCAGTCACCACTGCAGTCTACCAGCAGCTCCCCCTGAAGCCCCGTTGCTTCCTGATGTTCCATGTCCCCCCAATCCTGCCTGTTTCCAAGGAAAAAGAATAGTATTATACAGGGCATCCCTGGTGGCATAGGGGTTAAAGTCTCAGCGCTTTCAAGTTATCACCAGCCACTGCGGCCTGAGTTTGATCCTCAGCCAGGGAGCTAACCCACCTGGTGAACAGACCTCTCAGTGTATTTCATCAGTCTGCCTGTTCTGTTCCCCTCTCTGTCTCTGGTGAATCCTCTCACCCTCCTGCACGTCTACACACCGGGGCCTGTACCCCGGTTCTTATAGAAATAAAAATAAATCTTTAAAAAAATAAAAGAACTGGGGCCTCCCCGGTGGCGCAGCGGTTGAGCGCTGGGTTGCGAAGCTGCCCGCAGCCTCTGCAGTGCCGGTTCAATCCTTGGCTGCTCCCCGGCCACCGAAGGAGGGTCCCACATGGCACGCAGAGCTCTTCTGACGCCCGCTGCTCCCCTCAGCAGTGTACTTCGGTCCTTCTGCCTGCTCTGCTCCCCGCTCTGGCTCTGGTGAATTCTCTCACCCTCCCGCGCTTCTGACTGTACCCAGTGCTTGTATAAATAATAAATAAACAAATCTTTAAAAAAAAAAAAAGAAGAACTGGAGTATAGGCCAGAGGTGCGGCAGGTAAGAGGATTCACCAGAGACAGTGGGGAGCAGAACAGGCACATCTACTGAAATATCAGCTGAAAATATACTGCTGAGGGAAGCAGCAAGCCAGACAGGAGAGGTCTGCTGCGCCATGTGGATAGCTCCCTGGCCATCTGGGGGTGCCGCAGTGGCAGGCCAATAGTTTAATAGCGCTATGTCTTTAACCCCTGGACCACCAGGGAGGCCCTAAAAATAAATCCCAAAATTTAAAAAAAAAAAGAGAATTCAACAGAAGAGAAGGTAGTAAGACAATACTCCAAGGGATCACAGATTTTTTTTTTAAAGATGTATTCATTTATGCATACAAGAACTGGGGTACAGGCCAGAGGTGTGGGGGGGTGAGAGGATTTACCAGAGACAGAGTGGGGAACAGAACAGGCAAATTGACTGAAATACACTGCTGAGGGGAGCAGCGGGCAAGGCAGGAGAGGCCTGCTGCTCCATGTGGGTAGCTTCTTGCCCAGGGATCAAACTCATGCTGCAGTGAACTGCAGATAGCTTCATAGGTTGCATATTTTTTTTTTATTTTTTTATACAAGCACTGGGTACAGTCAGAAGCGCGGGAGGGTGAGAGAATTCACCAGAGCCTGAGCGGGGAGCAGAGCAGGCAGAGAAGGACTGAAGTACACTGCTGAGGGGAGCAGCGGGCGGCAGGAGAGGTCTGCGCGCCATGTGGGACCCTCCTCCGGTGGCCGGGGAGCAGCCGGGAATCGAACCAGTGCTGCAGAGGCTGCGGGCAGCTTCGCAACCCAGCGCTCAACCGCTGCACCACCGTGGAGGCCGTCCTAGGTTGCATCTTAACACCTTGCTCCTGCAGGGAGGCCCCAATCACAGATTTTTGTGATAAAAAGAAACTAGTGGAGGTGATTAAGAAATTTGCCTGGGGCCTCCCTGGTGGCACAAAGGGTTAAGGCGCAAAATGTGAAGCCAACTGCAGCTGCTGCAACCCAATATGAAGCCAACTGCAGCTGCTGCAACCCAAATTCGATCCCTGGCCAGTTACATGGCAGAGCAGACCTCTCCTGTCTCACCTGCTGCCGCTCCCCTCATCAGTTTATTTCAGTAGCTCTTCCTGTTCTGCTCCCCACTCTGTCATCAGTGAATCCTCTCACCCCCCCCCCCCACCTCTGGCCTGGACTCCAGTTCTTGTGTGCGTAAATAAATAAATGTTTTTTAAAAAAAGAAAGAAAGAAAGAAATTTGCCTGCAATGGTACTGTAACTGAGCATCTCAAATATGGAGAAGTAATTCAGTTACAAGGTAGTCAGACAAGAACACATGCCAGTTCCTCCGAGAGACTGAAATGACTGAGGGCAATCAGCTGAAGGTCCATGGGTTTTAAGTACTTCTGGCTCGCTGAAGCTTAAGTAAGGATTTCTTTGCTATGAGGAGACTTTCCCTTCAGTTTCCTGTCACAAGTTTAAAAATCTCATATCTTGTACAATGTAACGACTGTAGGTCTGCTTTTAACTTGGAAAATAGTGTGTAACTCCTTCATGACGTAAACTGAAAAGACCCAGAAAATAAAAAATAATAATAATTTTTTTAATTAAAAAAAAAATAGTACCTGGGCCTCCCCTGGTGGTGCAGCAGTTGAGCACTGGGTTGCGAGGCTGCCCACAGCCTCTGCAGCACCAGTTCAATCCCTGGCCACCGGCGAGGGTCCCACCAAAAAAAATTTAAAAAATTTAAAAAAAAATAGTACCTACCTCAATGGACTGTAAGAATAAACTAAGATAATGCAGATAAAATGTTTAGCCCTCTGGGACCTCCCCCGGTGGCGCAGGTGGTTGAATGCAGCGCTATGAAGCTGTCCACAGCCTCTGCAGCACCAGTTCGGATCCAGGCCAGCCAGCGAGGGTCCCACATGTTGCGGCAGACCTCTCCTGCCTCGCCCACTGCTCCCCTCAGCAGTGTATTTCATCAGTCTGCCTGTTCTGTTCTCCGCTCTGTCTCTAGTGAATCCTCTCACCCTCTTGCGCCTCTGGCCTGTACCCCAGTTCTTGTATAAATAAATAAATGAATAAATCTTAAAAAATAAAAGATATGCTTAAAGAGCTCAGAATAGAGCTTTGGGAAAAAAAAAATGTTTAGCCCTCTGTGTGCTGCACAGCAAACCTTCAACACTGTTCACTACTACCAATGGCACACACCCTGGGAAGAACAAAACTGGTAGCCAGGAACACCAGGAGGCACCTGGGGGACAGGAGTCACCTCACCTGTGCCAGAGGTCTGTCTCTACCTTTCACACAGACATCCAGCAACCATTTATTTATTCTGTAAAGACCTGGTGCTAGATGCCAGATACTGAATATTGGAAGATGAATAACATTCCTGGTCCTAATTTTTAGTTGCTCATAATTTTTTTTTTTTTTTTTTTTTAAATAGAGGCATGTTTTATTTATTTATTTGTTTGTTTGTTTGCTTGTTTTCTTTATACATGCACTGGGTACAGTCAGAAGCACGGGAGGGTGAGAGAATTCACCAGAGCCAGAGCGGGGAGCAGAGCAGGCAGAATGACGAAGTACACTGCTGAGGGGAGCAGCGGGCGGCAGGAGAGGTCTGCGCGCCATGTGGGACCCTCCTCTGGTGGCCGGGGAGCAGCCGGGGATCGAACTGGTGCCGCAGAGGCCGCGGGCAGCTTCGCAACCCAGCGCTCAACCGCTGCGCCACCGGGGAGGCCCTGCTCATAATTTTTGTTTATTTATTTTTTTTTTTTTTTTTTTTTTTTTTTTTTTTATAGAGGCATGCTTTATTTATTTGTTTGCTGGTTGGTTTGTTTGTTTTGTTTATACATGCACTGGGCACAGTCAGAAGCGCGGGAGGGTGAGAGAATTCACCAGAGCCAGAGCGGGGAGCAGAGCAGGCAGAAGGACCGAAGTACACTGCTGAGGGGAGCAGCGGGCGGCAGGAGAGGTCTGCGCGCCATGTGGGACCCTCCTCCGGTGGCCAGGGAGCAGCCGGGGATCGAACCGGCGCCGCAGAGGCCGCGCAGTTTCGCAACCCAGCGCTCAACCGCTGCGCCACCAGGGAGGCCCCCTGCTCATAATTTTTGTATCCACCCTCAGGTGAGGGCAGAGCTTTCTGAACCCCTAGTCTCAGAAGAAATCAGTGTGAAGTATGAATAAGAAACATCTGTGTTTCAAGGAAGAAGTTTTATTTGGGAGGAGTGGGGTTCTGCCTGGTCCTGCCCAGCCCTGCCCTGCCTCCCATCCCATTGAGCTGACTTTACTTCTTCCGAATCTCCTGGGATTTCTCCTTCCTGATCTCCTTGGCCAGCTCCCCAATCAGTCTCCAGTACTCGTTGAACTTGAGCTCTGAGTCCTGATTCACATCCAAGCTCTTCATCTTCTCATCTAAGGAGCCCACATCCTGAGGAGACACCAAAAGGCGGGGTGGGGATGGAATTAGAAGGAAGAGTTATTCAGATAAGGAGGAAAAGAAGAATTTCCAATCAACATTCCTTTCCCTCAGCACCGCCCCCACACCTTCAGGACAGACTGCCATGGTATCCACTCCCAGGGGGCAGCAGAGGGACATGGAGAACATGACTTTTAGTGTTTGCTGTGGTGTAAATACCTCCCACCATGGCCAATCATGAATCGCAAACATGATGCCACCGACCATGTGGCTAGGAAGAGATGCACATGCTGGGCCCTCACCTGCATGGGGGGCTCCAGCCCACCACCACACCACCTATGGATTTGCCCAAAGATACTCGGGAAACCCTTGGAGGCATGGATTCTCCAACCCCCCTCATCCTTCTCAGGCCACCTCCCCACCCACAAAACTGGAGACCTTCACGACACTTAGCTGTTCATTTGCATTTCCCCAGCAGGCCACTAGCCACTAGATCAGGGAAATGGCAGGGTATCTGGTTTTCTAGAAGGCCCTTGGCAAAGTCTCTCACAATTAGGCCTGTGAAATCAAAGCATGCTACAAGCTGGACCAAAGGGATCAAAACAGTTATTGACAGATGACAAATCACAACCAAATAAGGGTGCAGAGCTCCATGTTCAACATTTGGATGAAGGTAGACAAGACTTCCCAAATCTGTAAATAGCACAAAGGTAATTCACAGAAGAACTAAGCAAGACTTTTTTAAAAGGCATAATCATGCTTAGTTGTAAAGTCCTATAAGCATTGCCAGGCAAACCTGCCCGGTGTAACATTATATTGGGTTAGGGGAAAAACATACAATCAGTAAAAAGAAGAATAAAAAGTATAAGTATTAGGAAAGAAGAATCAAGGACACCTCATATTATATTAGCAACTATGTAATTGCATACCTAGGAAAAAACCGAGAGTGATATGGGCAACATTTCAACAAGTGTAAGCATTTATTAGTGCTGACTGTTCAAGCATTATGCTACACACATTACATGCTTTACTTCATTTAATCTTCACAATCTGCTAAAATTAAAGGCTCCACAAGCATGGGGACTGTGTCTACTTGTTCACCACTGTAGCCCAAAGTTGAGGACAGTGTCATGACAGGACATAGTAGGTGCCAAAAAAAATTGATTGAATAAATGCATGACCCATGCAACAAGGAAGGTATTATTTTGAGTCCATGTCACAGATGAGAAATTAAGGTTCAGAGATTAAATAAAATGAGGAAGAAAAAGCAAGAACCTAGATTTTCAGACTCAGAGCTTATGCTCTTATCCTCTACTCTCTGTTCCTTCCCCCAAACACTATTAGATTGAGGTTAAAGGAAGACAATGTACAAAAAGCCATAATAAATGTTATCATATAAATAAAAAAAAAACACTATTAGAAATGATAAAGTGGGCCTCCCTGGTGGCTCAAGTGCTTAAGCACAGCACTGTGAAGCTATCCGCAATCTCTGCAGCACGAGTTCCATGCCCTGCTGGCCAGGGAGCAACCCACATGGCGAGGCAGACCTCTCCTGTCTCGCCCGCTCCCCTCAGCATTTCAGTCAGTCTGCCAGTTCTATTCCCTGCCTGTCTCTGGTGAATCCTCTCAACCCCTGCATCTCTGGCATGTATGCATAAATAAATAAATCTTTAAAAAAAAAAAAAAGAAACAATGATAAAGTGAGCCTCCTTGGTGGCCTAGGGGTTAGTCTCAGAGCTATCACCATGATGGTCCACCACGGTGGCCTGTGTTTGATCTCTAGCCAGGGAACTCACCCACATAGGGCATAGCAGACCTCTCCTTTCTTGCCCACTGCTCCCCTCAGCAGTGTATTTCAGCACATCTGCCTGTTCTGATCCCCACTCTGTCTCTGGTGAATCCTCTCACACACACATCCCACCCCTGCACCTCTGCCCTACACCCCAGTTCTTCTATGCAAAAATATATAAATAAAACCTAAAACAAAAATAGAAATGCTAACGTTTCTGATTACAATATTAATACATAGGGCCTCCCTGGTGGTGCAAGGGGTTAAGCACCGCCTATGAAGCAATCCGCAGCCTCTGCAGCACAAGTTCGATCCCCAGCCGGCCAGGGAGCAACCCATATAGCGAAGCAGACCTCTCCTGTCTTGCCCACTGCTCCCCTCAGCAGTGTATTTCAGTCAGTCTACCTGTTCTGTTCCCCACTCTGTCTCTGGTGAATCCTCTCACCCCCCGCATCTCTGGCCTGTACCCCAGCTCTTGTATGCATATACAAATAAATCTTTAAAAAAAAAACAATATTAATACATAAAACCAATACGTTTTAGGGCCTCCCTGGTGGCCTAGGGGTTAAGTCTCAGCCTATAACTACTGTGGCCTGAGTCCAATCTCAGCCAGTGAACTAACCCACATGGCACAGCAGACCTCTCCTGTATTGCCCACTGCTCCCCTTGGCAGTGTATTTCAGTAGATCCACCTGTTCTGCTCCCCACTCTGTCTCTGGTGAATACTCTCACCTTCAGTACCTCTGGCCTACACCACAGTTCTTCTATTCAAGAACAAATAAAGTGTTTATTCAAAAAATAACAATAATAACCTTTTAGCTATATGAATGCTAACTAGTTGGAAAATATAGTAAGAAAGATTCTATTTAAAACAATTTAAAGGGCCTCCCCAGTGGCGCAGCGGTTGAGCGCTGGGTTGCGAAGCTGCCCGCAGCTTCTGCAGCGCCGGTTCAATCCCCGGCAGCTCCCCGGCCACCAGAGGAGGGTCCCACATGGCGCGCAGACCTCTCCTGCCGCCCGCTGCTCCCCTCAGCAGTGTACTTCGGTCCTTCTGCCTGCTCTGCTCCCCGCTCTGGCTCTGGTGAATTCTCTCACCCTCCCGCGCTTCTGACTGTACCCAGTGCTTGTATAAATAAATAAAATAAATAAATAAAAATAAAAATTAAATCTTTAAAAAAAAAAAAAAAAAAACAATTTAAAAAAGGGCTTCCCTGGTGGTGCAAGGGGTTAAGACACAACCTATGAAGCTATCCACAGCCACTGCAACACAAGTTTGATCCCTGGCCAGGGAGCCACCTACATGGTGCAGCAGACCTCTCCTGTCTCACCCGCTGCTCCCCTCAGCAGTGTATTTCAGTCAGTCGGCCTGTTCTGCTCCCCACTCTGTCTCTGGTGAATCCTTTCACCACCTGCACCTCTGGCCTATACCCCAGTTCTTGTATGCACAAATAAATAAATCTTTTAAAAAAATAAAATAAAACAGTTTAAAAAATAAAATGGGGCCTCCCTGGTGGCGTAGCGGGTTGAGCACAGCGCTGTGAAGCTGTTCGCAGCCTTTGCAGAGCCAGTTCAATTCCCAGCCAGCCAGGGAGAGTCCCACATGGCGTGGCAGACCTCTCCTGTCTCGCCCGCAGCTCCCCTCAGCAGTGTATTTTGGTCGTCTGCCTGTTCTGCTCCCTGCTCTGCCTCTGGTGAATCCTCTCACCATCCCATGCCTCTGGCCTGTACTCCAGCTCTTGCATAAAAATAAATAAATCTTTTAAAATAATAATAGTTAAAAAAATAAAAAATAAAATAAAAGCAAGCATTTAGGCATAAATGCAGAAATCTATTGAGCTTCGGTGAAGTAATCTGAAATGAGGGAAGAAAACTTGAATATACAGAAAAACATACTTATTTTTTGAGCAAAAGACTCATAGTATAACAATGTCTATTTTCCCTAGGATATATTTTGAAGTGATTCCAATTAAAATATCGATAGGATTCTTTTTAACATGATTAAATATTACTAAAATTCATTTTTAAGGATTTATTTTTATTTACTTATGCATACAATAACTGAGGTGTAAGCCAGAGGTGCAGGGGTGAGAGGATTCACCAGAGACAGAGTGGGGAGCAGAACAGGCAGATCCACTGAAATATACTGCTGAAGGGAGGAGTGAGTGAGACAGGAGAGGTCTGCTGTGCCATGTGGGTTAACTCCCTGACCAGGGATCAAACTCAGGCCACCGTGGTGGGCTATCATGGTGATAACGCTGAGACTTAACCCCTGCATCAACAAGGTGGCCCAGTTACTAAAATTCTTGAAAAGTAAACTGTGAGATCCACTAAGTAAAATTCTAAAATATAAGAATGAGAACCAACCTTGTTGGTTACTAAAACATATTATAAAACTGTAGTCACTAAATGAGATTGTTGCTAAATAAATAATAAACAGATGAATGAAACATAATAGACTGGAAACACACAAGGGAATTTTATAAATAATAAAAATGGTATTTCAGCAGCTCTCCTGCCTGCCTGTGTTTATGCAGACATCTCTTTCCTTTTTCTCTTTTGTTTGATAAGCTTGCCATGTGCTGATGAATAGGCTTAAAAGTGGTATTTCATATCAATAGGAGTTTCCATCTCCAACTGGGAAAGACTCCAAAGCCTGGCATAAAACACAGATGTCATTCAGAAAAAGTTTCACAGATTTAATAACAAACATTTCTCATATCTTGTATAGGGAAAACTACCACAAAGTCAAAGGACAAAGAGGAAATTAGGGGAAACTACTTGCAACACCATCCTAAAAGGAGCTATACGAAATCAAACAAAAAGAAATAAACAAGCATTCAGCAAAAAAGCAATAAACAAGTCCACCAAAAAATATTGTTTCAGTGCTCTATTTACCTAGAATTAAGGAAGTGTAAATCAGAACAAAATAGCATTTTCCCATATTAGGTTGGCAAAGACATGGAAAACAGGCATTCACATACACTGTTGGGGTATGTATTCTGGAACAACTTTGTTAGGAACCAGATTAGTGATGTCTATAAAAATTAAGAAAAACTTGCTTTTTGATCTAATATTTCTACTACCACATATTTACCCTATGTAAATATTTTCCCATAAAAATGTATACACAAGGAAGTTTGTAAACAGGGAAAAAATTATCACAGAAGAGACTTCCATCAACAAAGGACTGACCACAGTAAAATGTGTTTCAACATTCACTCAC